ATTCGACATGGCAAAGAAAGAGAAAACACAACATAAAGGAGACAAATAAACATCACTGTCAAAATAAATACATCTACTTTTAAGATGGCTCATGTATGCCATGTGTACCAAATAATTTGCATAAATGAATTGCTTGGCTCTATTACATGTAAATGTTCAGTTCATCTCCTGATCGTTTTCTAACTTGCATCACTTCTCAAATGATGAAGATAATTGACCTTCTCCTTATAAACAATACACAAAAGGTCAGGTTCACAACAGTCACTGCTGCCTGCCGTCTCGAATTATTTTAGACTTTTCTAGTTTATTTTATTTTATTGCACCGCCTCGGAGCCAAATGGAAATGCTTTTCAGTACGAATATTATTTGTTCTCTCAAATAGCCCTTATTCTGGGTTACAATGTGAACAAGTCTACAATATTACAGGAGCATGATCGACGAAGATTCTCTGGGCACTTACACTATCTACTGACCTTTTGAAAGCGTCGGTAAGTCTCTCCGCATTGAAGTCAAGAGAAAATGCGTTCCCTAAGACAGGGAAAGCCGTCAAACGCGGACCCGGTGGCATGTTCCTGAACTGGTAGAGCACCATCAGGTAATGCAAAAGTAGAAACAGAAGCAACACCAGGAGGACATTTGGAAAACTTAGAGAATCGTAAACCGTGGCAAACAAAGACGCCATCTTCGATATCTCTGAAGCGTGTTGCAACGTTGTTGTGCAACAGTACTGTCACGCAACGTTGGAAAAACAACTTACCATTATTCTTTTGAGGGGGGCGGGGGGAGGGGTTGAGCAATCTCCTGCGGGCATGATGGACCTGGATAGTAGAAAGTTCTCGTTCGATTTTTTTTCCCATGGCTCCACTTGCAAAATTTTTTTAAATCAGTTTTGGTGGGATTTTTTTTCAATTTAGTTTAACTATTTGATATAAATTTTACTATTTTAGACTTCCTTCATAGCATAGAAATAGCGTTTTTCCTCCTCTTTTTTTTATTCTCATGTGTGCATTTGTGCTTCAGTTTTCTGCTGACCTGTATTTTGTTTCTATTTAATGCTGATGTTAACTGGCTGCCTGGCTGCGCTAGCCCCTATGGTTATTCCAGGCAGCTAGTACTCTAGTTGTGATTTCTTATTTTGAGCAAGAGCGAGTGGCAGATAAAGATTGATTGATTGATTGATTGATTGATTTAAAGCTACCGATGTATAATTCTTTGTTTTTAAATAATAATAAATTAATATTTTAAGAGCAGGCCTCAAATCATTTAGAGGTTGGTTTCAGGAGGGTTCTCTGAAAACTAAAATCTAAAATATACATTAAAGGTCTAAAATACAGAAGTAATAAAAGCTAACAATTTAGGACTACAACTAAGGTTTAAACGAAAACTAGGATTACAAATACTACAACTAACTAAGGTTAAAAATGGTTAAGTAAAAGCTGTTTCAGTTGTGTTTAAAAATCCTTTTCGGCATAAGGTTCTTAAGCTTACTCAGTAGTGAGTCTCAATCGGTTATTGTCAGTCAATCGGTTATTGACTTAATTGTCAAATGCCCCACCCTTGGACAGTCCTTTCGCGAGTAAATTCCCCATGGTGGGGAACCATCATCTGTCCAATACTCGTCAAATGCCCGAGGGAGGGGGAGGGGGGGTAAGATTGGGCTTGTAATTGACAGAATCATGTGTCAATACAATGTTATTATATAATAACTATTTGTCAAATGTACCATTTCGTTAATGTAGATCCAGATGTTATTAATAGCTTTATTGCTACAGCTCTGTTTGGCTTGCTGAGGTTTGTGAAACACTTTTCCTTGGCAAGAATTATCCACGTGACTGTGTACTCTTCTTGCTTGTCGTTTAACTGCTACAGGCGTTTGCGTTCTTTCGTTTGCCTTGTCTGAATGACATCCGGTGGTTTCTCCACCTGGTGTTAAATTCATTAGCTGTTAGTCTCACGTACGCTCTCAGTTGTGTCCTCGGTCTTGACGGGTAGCTTAATTTGGTACACGATTTCTTTCAAGCATTCTCCATTTCACGGGCTCTCATCTTTTCTGCAGTTGACTCGAAAGGACAGGAGTACAATTTTGAAAGCAACCGAGTAAATCTTTCCAACAACGTTCTTGCTAGATTACAACTGTAAAAATAGTCCCCAAGCGGCTAATCGCTTGACGCCTGACTGAAAACTAACAACAAAAGGCAAATAACAAATCAACGTCTAGAATTTCAAATACTGTCGAAAACAGCCCGAGCTTTCGATTTGCAGTTTTAACCAGAATACTTTGCAGTTTTAACCAGAATACTTTGCAGTTTGTCAATGCTTCTAACCAGAATCCTAGCGCCGTAGAAGATGCCTCGGTACTAAAAATTTCAACTATGCGAACTGCGTTGATTTCAGTTGTTCAGTTCGTTACCAAATATGAATATGTGCAATACAAGCAGTCGCTATATACATACATACATATGTTTATTTGATAAGTAGGTTTAATTGCACTCTTTAGCTGTTCAGTTCATATTCCCATACATGACCACTCCTGCTTCGAATTCACTTCCGTTACCTTTGGACGAACTCTTCATGTTTTGCAATACAGCGCAAACATCCAGAGTTCAAGCGGTCACGATCACAGATCAGTCTTGCGGACTATTTTCCCGCCACGGTAACTATGTCAGTAACTATGCTGCGGGAATGAAACTTGGCTTCTATAAGACAACCTTGACACCGGAATACGGAAAACGCTAACCACAGTGCAAACTCACAAATCTTAATCACATACAGTAAAAACATATTTGAAAGCTAAAGATATTTTGATATAAATGGTTTGAAACGCTCTCGAAAGCTGTGTTTGCATAGTTAAAAACTATCCAGATGTTTACAATATCATGCTGTTGTAGCCGAACAGTGAGGCATATTTTGCGCTAAAAATCAAGAGATGCGGTAGCCTCATGGTTAGTGCGCTCGGCTCCGGAGCTAGCGGTCCGGGTTCCAGCCCTGGCCGGGGACATTGTGTTGTGTTCTTGGGCAAGACACTTAACTCTCACAGCACCTCTCTCCACCCAGGTGTATAAATGGGTACCAGCGAATTTTAATGCTGGGGGGTAACCCTGCAAGTAACATCCCATCTAGAGGAGGGAGCAGAAATACTCCTAGTCGCTCTATGCTACTGAAACCGGGATAGGCTCCGGCCTGATGAGCCACTTGCCTCGTATGCAGACTTTACTTTTGCCTTTTACCCTTGACAACATCGCCCCTTGTACTTCATCACCTTTTGGCAATCTCGTGAAAAGTTTAAATGGGTTCCTCAAAACAGGGGTACACTGGCTGGCAATTTTTTCAGCTGACTAACATGTTTCATGATCCCTTTCGTAAACGGTCAAAAGGTTTTTGAAAAAATCCTGCTTGTTGCTTGTCGCAATTAGTAGTTGTTTACATAATCAAGATCCTTCAGAAGCTTTCAAAATCACCTTGTGTGGCCAGCCAGTGACGCCTTCGTTTTAGATAAAATACAAACAAGAGTTCATTATTCTTTAACCATAAAAGAACTGAGTGCAGTTAATTTAAAATACGCAAATTCTTTTTAGTGGCTGTTATTTAAACATTTGTAGTCTATTTGTTGCAACATTAGCTCGGATAACAGATTGTACAGCATTACAATCCCGGGGGAGGGACCCCGGGATTGTAATTGTGCTCGTCCTACCTTTTAGGGATTACAAGGCAGTTTTGGTACCTCTTAGGGTGTCCAGCCCCAGAAGGTTCCACAACACGAGCTGTTGCGGTATCTTTAAGAGTATTGAGCCACGAAAAGTAAGAATTAGAATTGTTAGCTCTTAGGGGTGAAAACAAATTCAAGCCACGCCCACACCACCACGTCCTTTTAATATGGGAGTTTTGACCTGGAGCATATCAGCCGCAGATTCTCTACTAAAAAAAGATCAAAGCAAGTTATAGAAAAACAGGAAAAGCCTGATCGCAGTCAGCTGTGACCTCTTACCTAAGCCCTCTGAAATCCCCATTAACATTCCTCCACAATAAGTACTGAACTATAGGGCTGTTTTGACAGGCTATACTATAGCTGTGATTACCTGTTGTGTCAAGTAAGAGACCAGAACGGGTTCAAAAATATTGGATACCATTGTTGTAGGATAAACTAATAAAGACTGCTAGTAATAACCACTAAAGATACAAATATCGCAAATTGAACGTAAACTTCAGTTATTAGGAATATGGAACGGTTTCAGGACTAACCAGATGGCCACTTGTAAACCAACAGAAGCAAATAATAAACAATTATTGGATGAGGTTTTTGTGATATCCAGAATAATTAAGGTCGAGGTAGGGGTTATCAGCGGAAGTCGAAGGCTGAGGTAATAACCCTTACCGAGATCTTGATTATTCTAGATATCACAAAAACCGAATCTAATAATTGTTTTATTATACATTGAACGAAAAAAAATGAAAGCAATGTTTTCCCTTCCTCACTGACGGCAAGCAATACAAAGCGCGCGAACAAGACATGATTACCCTCAGGAATCATGCACCGCGGTCATACATGACATGATTACCCGTGACCTTGACTGTCCTTGACATGATTATTGTATGATCTACAGCTAGATGACGTCAAAGGCGCTAATTTCGAAAATTCACTTTCGGCCAATCAGAAATGAGATAGTGAGTTCAATGTATAATAAACCTCTTTATTATATGGCTGTGTCTCACAAGGACTGGGAACTACCGAAATCACGAATTTGATTGACTGAAATCGATATTGACCGCGGTCTAGATTTTCCCATCTAGACCGGCATCTAGACCGGTTTCATTTTGCGTTGAAAAAGTAGCAAACTCAAATACAAAAATGTTCACCCTTTTCTTTTATTTTCTTCGCAATCATTTATGAAAGTGCCAAAGACCTGATGACAAAAAAAAGTAGAGAAGACGAGCAAATTTCGGCAGGTGATGATGAGCAGTTAAGCTCATCTCCGTTTGCAAGCAAAATGTCATAAGTAAAGCACAAACAATCAAAAGACTAATGGCCTTTCAAAAGCGTAACACGTGCAAGACACATAGCATGTGACAGAAGCAAAATTACGTTTTTTCATTATCAGGACAATTTCAAAATACCAATCCAGCTCATTGCAGAACCTCCTCTACAGCAAATGTAAACGCTTTTACTTACAGTTGGACCACGCCAGTTCGAACCCGATTATTTCAATTTCCCCGTTATTTCGAACTCAAAATCATTTCCCCTGGATTTTCCCTTCAGTCATTTACTATCCATTATTTCGAACTCCTGCTATTTCGAACAATTTTTCGTTTCCCCTGAGAATTCGAAATGGTGGGGTTCAACGGCATCTACTTAAACATTTCCACTTTTTCTAAAACCACCAGAAGGTAGTTTCTCCATCCAACACTCTCAGTTGACTTCCGTTTGATTGCACGTATCTTGCAAGGAGCAATGTTTAATGCCAGATTGTATGATAAACTGATAAAGAGTTCTAGTACTTATTCACCAAAGAAACAAATATCGCTAATTGATCGTAAACTTACAAAGAATCTCAACTCGGTTGAGGGCTAACCAAATGGTCACTTTTTCAAACAAACTGTAGTCTATGAAGTAATCCATCATGATTACCGTCAATCTTCTACGAGTAAAGGACATACAATCAAAAGACTAATTGCCTTTCAAAAGCGTAACACGTGGAAGAATTCTAACATGTATCAGAAGCGTAAAACCTACTTTCATTATCAGCGTTCTCTCAAAATACATGCTCAGCTACCTATACATTAACTCTTCTAAACCTACTGTAAAAGCATACGCTATTCCTAAAACCACCGTCCAAGAAACAATCTCAGTCACTTCCGTTTGACTGCACGTATCTTGTAAGGAACAGGAAACTGTATGCCACTAAACATTCCCTTCAAGCTGGGTGGATGACCATCTTCCTCAGCGATGAAAGTGAACTTCTGAAGCATCCACGAAAGAAACAAAAACAATTCAACTTTGGCCAGGGGCTCACCAGCACAGACACGGCGTCCCGCTCCAAAAGGATAGAAATTGCCTTGGTTGGTGATTAACTTACCATTCTCGTCGATATGACGGTAAGGGTTAAACACGGTTGGATTTTCCCAGCATTTGGGATCCAGATGAACAGATTCTGTGTCAGCAAACACGATGGTATCTTTGGGAACGCGGTAGCCACAAAGTGTCGTATCTTGGAGAGTGAAATGGGGCAGTGCAAGAGGTACTACGTTTCCAACTCGTAGCGTTTCCATGATGATCGCGTGAATGAGGGGGAGATTTGTTCGGTCTTCCAAACTGGGATTCCGTCCGCCAAGTACTTCATCTAACTCGAGCTGAATATCGTCTTGGTACTTTGGATAATTGACCAAAAAGGCTATCGCCCATTTCATTGTTGTGCTTGTGGTTTCGAAGCCGGCAATGAACATGTCTTCGACGGTATTCAACAAGTAGTCGTCGGAAAGAAAAGCTGCTCGTACTTCATCATTCTCAGAATCTTGATGTCTGGCGTGCAGTAGACCTGAGATCAAATCTTTCACAGGTTCCTCTGGATCGAAGTTTTCTTTTCGCTCTCTTAAAAGTTTGCGAATAATATCAAAAATTCTTAGCACCATCTGGAGGAGGCGATCATAAGCCTTAATAGGCAGATACTTTGCGAAAGGAAAGAAATCTAAAACGCCTACTATCTGAGAATCATCGGTATTTGCAACAAGTTCTACGTTAAGTTTCAAAAGCTTATTAACATCTGGATTCGTTGTGTCGTAGCCTTCTCCAAACGTGACTCCACAAATAACATCAGCAACGACGCGTTGCAAGCAATCTGCGGGATCAAAAGGCTTTCCATCTTGTTCTTCCATGAAATGCACTAGTTTCTCGGCCTGTGTGGAGACTCGCGTTTCCACGAGACCAATATCAGAGAGATATTGTCGCAAGGCTGTTGTAAAGAGCTTGCGATGATACTTCCAGGCGGGTCCATAGTTACCTAACACAAGGCCCTTGCCTCCTGTAATTTAAAAAAAGGCCGGAGTCAAATCGAAGCGGAAACTTTAGGCCAGCTTTTATACTAACTGATCAATGTTCATACATAGAGAAGACAGCCTAAAAATAGTAGTCATTAGGGTAAACAGATCTCAGCAAATTCGTAAAGGAAAAATCACATCAAGCTGTAGGGAAGAAGAAATACCATGCACCTATTGACTTTGTGGGAGGGCCGGACGGGAAAATATTTGGCTCGAGGTCAGTACATAAGGACCGAGGGCAGCGAGGTCCGAACTTCCTGAAAACGAGCCAAATACTTTCTCGTCTGGCCCAACCTCACTCAGTCAATGAGCATTTTATGATCTGGCCATTTTGTTTGTTTGTTTTAACTTTCTTTTTCCTTTTTTTTCGGGGGAGGGGACGGGGTGGGGGACGACGGTTTCAACGCGGACGTGCGCATTGCACTTCAAAGGAAGAACCATACATGTTTCTATTAGGGCCGTATGCGACCTTTTTTCTTATGGTTTTCCGAGAAAGTAGTGCGCGGGGCCGAACAGGTCATGTAATCAATATTTTTTTCGGTTTTATTTGATCCTTAAATTATTTTACGTAAACACATTTCGATTAAACTGTAGGTCCCAACATGCAAATTCCCAGAATAGAAATCTTGGGGGGCTCCTGGTTTAGAGTTTAGAGTGGTCAAAGTCCACAGACAAGGAACCATCAAGAACATCCGGCCATGTAAAATTTAC